AATTTTCTAAGATTCTAGATTTTTTTTCTAGGTTTGTAGATGCAGACAACACTTTTTTTCTTTTTCATACATATTAGAAAATAATGAAAAAAATTGTCTTAAGATAGAGCCTGGCAGAACAACAATGTGAATTCATTTTGTGTTTAGACTACATAATTTTAATTATAATTATTAAATTAATAATTTATAATATTAATGGGTGAATTAACAATGTTTAAAAATAAATTAAAATAAAAATTTTATTTTGAACTGAAACTTTATGAAAAGTTCAAGAACTGAGTAGAAACTTGCACATTTAATTTTTTTTTTACACAAGGAAAATAAATTTACATCAGACTTAGATATTATTTATGGCCTATAGATTTTAGTTTTACTGATAGTTTAAAGTCAATAAATATATCTTTTTATCATTAGTACCAGGAATTAAAAAATTAAACAAAAAAAAAAGAAATCCAAAGAATCATTTTTGGAATCAGAAATTAGGTTCAAAATTCTCCATTGCTCATTCCAATACCCAAAAAAGTTTCAATATTTCTGATTCCGGTAAATTGTCCTATTACTAATGCAAGCATAAAATTCTCAAACCTTAATTAATTACTCACATTATTGCATATTTATTTGAGTATACTATATTACAAAAAAGGCTCAGCGATGTTGAGTTAAGAAATTGTTATAACTCACTTCTAGTGGTTATAATATTATGTCTCACTTAGGCACTTTGACTGAATCCAATGGACTTCTACTGACTCACTTTGAGTTCTTTATTTAAGGCATCTTGCCTAGTTCATTTGTGTTACCAGGAGTCTGTTATTTACTCCAAAGCATTCTCCTTTTTGAGATTTTTTATTAGTAAATATTTTATTTTATTTCTTAGTATTCATCCTTTCTGGTGTCTTCGCCAATGTACTGAACTTTGTATTTCTTTCATTTTGGGTTAACCTCTAGTTTTTGCATATGTTTCTTTTTTCTGGTAATCATTCATGTATGTTCACTGAATTCTTGGGGTGTTGGTACATTAAAAATTTCATACAGTACTTGCATAAGTTCTTCCTTTCTTGTGGGTCTTTCTTTAGTAAACCTTTTCTTTAACTGATTCCAATGCTTTTTGCATTCCCATTTTTTTTCTTTTACCATATATATCATTTTTTTTCAATTTATGACCTTATTACATTGTCTACCCACATTTCTTTTCCATTTTTATATACTCTGAAAAACACTTTTTTGCCAATTTTGAAAAATTTTGTGTCCTTTTTGTTATCTGTTCTTATTCTTTTTGACTTGGTAGAAACTTGTTGAACACCAATTTAATTTTTCTTGTGAACATCAATTCTGCTGGTGACATGCCTTCTGGTGTATTGGGATTCAGTGTTATCTGGTATACTCTCAAGAATTTTTGTAGTGCTGCTTCGCTCACTTTTTCATTACTTGCTTTTTTTAAAAACTCTCTTAAAAGTACCCACAAACTCTTCAGCTTTTCTGCTTGATGTTGGGTTATATGGTGGGGGTAGTAATTTGTTCAATCAAGAACATTTTACAAAATTCTTCAAATTCATAACCAGTGAATTGTGTACCATTATCTGAGACTATGGCATTCACTACCCCAAGATAATGTAATCCGTTTATTGGACCTGCAAAATCTATGAACAGTCTTGACCAGGGAATATCTGTCTTTGGCCAGGATTGTAATTTCATCGTGATGATTTTGCTGCCAGAACACAACCTTTGCAGGCTTTTACTAATTTTTCACTGTCTTGATCCATTTTGGTTTAGTATAAATAGCTTCTCATAAGAGATTTCATCTTTGAAACTCCCAGATGTCCACAATGAAATTCATTGAATATCTGCTTTTGTAATCTGATAGGCATGACTACTCTTTGTGCAAACATCAGTACTGTGTCACATAATGAGTAAGCATTCAAGTCTGGATTGCATTCTAAAAATCGTCTGTCTTTCTTTTAGTCATTTTTTTATTTCTGAAATGAACATGCCTTGTTCTGCTTTTACTTTTCTTTCTTCCAGTGTAATTGATAGTTGGCATACTACATTGCATAATATATTTTTAATTTCTATTTCACTATTAATGCTGCAATAACAGTGTCCTCAAATGCTTCAGTATTTTTAGGTATCAATCTTGATAAACCATCAGCATGTTTTGGACGGATGCTATTCCATCCTGAAATTGTAATTTAATAAGATGGTACCCAAGAATTGTAATCTATTTGTTGTATGCTTGGGAATTTCTTTCTTTTTTTTTTTTTTGAACCATAAATTGATAATAGAGGTCTGTGGTCCGTCTGTAACTAAAAACCACTTCCATGTACAAATTTGTGAAATTTTTCACTGTAAATATTATTGCTAATAGCTCATTTTCGATCTGGTTGTAGTTTTTTTCTTGTCTTCCCAGTTGCTGCATTCTTCTATGAAAATTAGCTCATATCTTCTAAAATAAGCAGAAAAGGTAATTGTATGTGAATTTAGTTATGGTATTTGTCACTGTGTCGGCAGTGAAAGAAATTGGAAAATTTTTCATTTCAATTAAATTTTGTTGTTGTTTCTGGAGTTCCAACAACTGCTTTTGCTGTATTTTTATCACATGGGCTAATAATTCTTCCATATTTAAAGAATATCTGTGTTTTTTTTTCTCTTTTTAAAACGGACCAAAGAGAAAAAAAATTAACATGGTTCTAATTTCTTGTCATCACTGTTATCATAAGCACTGAAGCAAAAAAATGTACTTTTTCCTACTCTGTATGAGTTTTGATTCCTTGTCACCACTGTCATAACTTACTTTTAGTGGTTATAATATTATGCCTCACTTAGGCACTTGTTGTGAAATCACTGGAATTGTTTCTGACTAACTCCAACAAACTACTTCTGACTCACTTTGAGTTCTTTATTTAAAGCTTCTTGTCTAGTTCATTTGTGTTACCAGTAGTGTGTTATTTACTCCACAACAGAAACACAAAAAAAAAAACATATGAATTGAGTTATTTGTCAACACAGATTTTAGCAGTAGTATTAATGAAGCTTTGCCTGCTTTCTGCTGCTATTAGAAAAAATACATGCATATGTAAAACAGTGTAAATACATGACCCACACATTCTCACATGTAGACACATTCTATTTTTTTATCATACTAACACAAATATTCTATGTCATGGTTAAAAAAGAAAACATATTTTTGCATGAAGTTGTTTCAATTAGAAAGAAAACTAAGACTCAATAATAAAAATTTATTTAAATCTGTATAGCCATGTTTGAAGATCATTTATTTCTTTGCTTTGTCATGCATATTCCTCTATGCATATACAGGGTGCGATTGACAAATTGTTACCATTTTATATTTTTAATTTTGCATATGTGCATTGTTTATTTTTGATTTTGTCAACTGTACAGTATAGTAGGATCAGTTAGGTACAATCTGTGAGAAAAAGAGCACCATGACACCATTCATTCTGCCAGAAATTTAGAAATGGCATGCTCTACTGTTTGGTATTCATACGGAAAGCTCCAATATGAACATTTCAGAGTGTTTGGATGTCAATCTGAGGAAAGTGCAGAGGATTTGGAAAGTGTTGGATGAGTCTAATGGTTATTATGGAGGTACAGCATCTAGGAAAACTCACTCTGGTTGTTCTGATAAGAAAAGAACTCCCAAACTTGTTGATGAGGGCCTCAGACTCAACATGGTGGCCTATATCAAGTACCTTGAGGAGGTTGTGCTGCCCTGGGCCAAGAGGGTGGCTGCTGAAAGATCCTGGCAACAAAACTCTGCACCATGCCACACAAGCAGGAGAACCCAGTCATGGCTGCCAGACAATTTCTGCGACCCCATCTGGCCACCTTACTCCCCAGACTGCAACTCCCTTGATTATTATGTGTGGGGTGAAGTTTAGTGAGTGACCAACAAAAGTCGTTATAACACCAAAGATGAACTGAAGGCAAGGATTATGGCAGCATTTACCAATTTAAACAAAGAGACCATCCAGAAGATTTGCAGGAGGCTGTTGTTGAAGCCAGTGGTGATTTTATTGAATAAATTTACTCTTTCAGTTTAAATGAGATGTTAGTGTTATTTTCATTTTTGCATAATTTAGATGACAATTTATCCATTGCATTCTCTGTGTGTGTGTGTATGTGTATATATATATATATATATATATATATATATATATATGTAAAGCGGTTTTAGTGAGATTGTCACTGTCAGTTTTGCTTCATAATCTGATGCATTTGTCTGAAATGTTTTATTTTAACCACAACAGATCATTTTGAAATGTGGCTTTGACTACTTTTCACCATAAACAATAAATGCTGAACTTAATTGTCATTTTGATGTGAGAATTAAATAAATATTTTGATTAATTTTTAGTAACTCATTTTCCACATGGTGGTAACATTTAAAAATGCAAATACTATCCATAACGCTTGATGTTCAGAAAAAAAGAATGCAAATATACATTCTGATATAATGACTGGCTTCTTGTTTTCCAAGTACACCCATCTACTAGGGGCCAGGGGTTAGTTAAACACCCACTCAGACATATTTTTGTTTCTTCATTACCCACAGAACCAACCTGCACCATGTACTGTAACTCAGTTGAGCCAGCCTTTGAGTTTCTGGGAGAAATTGTATAAATTAAGATGATCCAGTGTGCACTTGAATCCTTGATCATGATCACTTTGTGCTAGCACAACAATTAACAGCTTCTGAATGGTTTTGTCTACACAATTTCACTCACAAGGTATGATTTTCAAGCAGTTCTCAATAGTGCTACTCACTGGGATCATCATCATCGCAGGTTATTTCTTTGATCAATTGACCATGGTAAGATTCAAACTTCAGTCTATGGTTGAAATGCTAACATTCTAATCACTCAGCCACATGTCTATATACATCCCAGTATGCTATACAAATATTCAAATAAAATGATAATTAAAATCAGATTGAATATTGATTTCTTGAATGTATTTTTTTTTTTTTTTTGGTTTCATTTCAGGTCTTTAAAGTATTTGTCAACAATCCTTTTCCAGTTCAGTTGCTAAAGTTAAGTGTTGGAATTCGTTGTCTTGATGTAAGTTCCAGCAGAACAAAATTAGCTGCCATTGATGAACAGAATACATGCCTTGTATATGACTTAAATACAAAAGAACTTTTATTTCAAGTAAGTTATGTTTTAATTCCTTACTCATTTTATTTTATTTTTCTTTCTGAATATATTAACCACTTTCTGATTGTATTTTTTAATATCTCTAAAATAATCTTGTGGGATGCTGAAAAATATGCACTGTTCTCTTTTACTCACGGATATGTAAAATATTACAAAAAAATTGGGTAATGTTGTCAGTATCTGATTTTGGGTAGAATTGAAACTATGCAATGCTTATGATATTTTTTTGTAGATATTTACTTGTGAAACAGGTGTGTGTGTGTGTGTGTATTTGCATATTTAAAGCCTGGGAGCAGAGGTGAGAGTAGTAGAGAGAGAGAAGACTGATGATAGATAAAAAAAGAGGAGAGAAAAATTTTTATTAGTCCAGTTCTGTTGGTTGTTATCTAAAGTTTAATGGAAGAGCCTGAGCACAAAGTAGAATCTGTTCTTGATAGAATATTTGGCATTTAGCATTTTGTACTTTGGTAATAAAAAATGAAAAAAATGATTGATTTTCTTTTTGTAAACAAATAACTGTTTGTAGGACTGAACAGTTTAAGCACATTCATGTTTTATGTTTGTTTGTTTTTGACACATACATAATCTACACAGTGTTGCATCTGTGATTGCGTGTGTGTATTATTTACCCTATTTAAGAAAATATATATAAAAGAGCCTTACTTACTGTGAAGTGCTTTGTCTGGGTGGCTGTTTTTGTTTCATAGCATATCAACCCCTATGTGTGTTATTTAATGCTGAAATCTAAATATTCTGTATGCAATTTTATGGCTTCAACTACAGATATTTTGTACATAATTTTATACTTTCAGAATAAATTCATGTCTTATAGATAGTAATCCTTTGTGGCCAATCAACTATATATATATATATATATATATATATATACACATACAAGAGAGTGGTGGTTTTTGCCTTGACTCAGATTCCAAAATCTGTATTCTAATGTTCAGTGACTGAAATGGTAATAATAATATTATTCATTTCCTTATAGAGAAACATTTGGCATTAATTGACCAATCAGCCAGTGCTCCCATTAGTTGAAATATATAAAATTTTTTATTTAAAACAATATTTGAGAAAAATAGGTTTCCAGTAAATTATTTCTCTTTCCAGTATTGATGGGGGTTTCCTTCCTAACTTAGACAATATACGAATGTCAGTATATTCATTTTGTCATTATTCTCTCTTAGATTTAAATGTGCTATCTATTTTAGTTGTTCCTGCTGTTGTAAGTCCTCAAGTGATGTGTTTTCTGTTACCTGGTACAGTTCTTTGCACCAGTCTATGAGGTTCGAAAAAACAATGGTCCTCACTGAGATCTACATCTTTCACTTGCTTGAAGCCATTTAATCATTGATCTAAAAAAATGATTGTATACAATTTAGATATTTTCTGAATGAGAATTTTGATCTGGCAAGGCTATTTAAGAACATGACATGTGTTCTTAGGTTAATATTTTGGTTTTGTAGCAATTTGTGATTTGTACAAAACTACCCCTAACTCAGACTATTCTATATGCAATTTTCTTATCTCCTATACTAATACTGATTTATTATGGGAAATGAGTTAGTGTAACAAAGAGGTGGGTGTTCACTCCCAATCATAAACTTCCTCTACCCATGTTGCGTCTAAGATCTAAAATGTTCTCTGTGCTTAGTGTCAAAGTATTCATCATTCATTGTGCACTACACATCATAATTGATGTCGATGACTTCTGGAATTTTAAAATAAAGATATAGAAGCCTAGCTGACATGTAACAATAGTGACTGAATACTGTTTTATTTATTATTTTTGGCTTATAAACTTCTGATTGTATTTTCCCTTCTCATGAATTATCAGCTTGACTAAGAACTGAACTTTTAGGCACTCTACACTCAACTGATTGATGAAACCATAGTTGCTCTTCTAAATGATTATATTGCTTTTGTTCATATTGGTAGTAGCAGTAGTCATCATTGTCATATTCTGTAGAGGTTTGCTTCTGTGAGATGGCCATTTCACTCTTCGCTAGTGGAACATTGAGAGAAGCTGTGTTGAAGTGTCTGTCATTTTAGTGTTTACGCAGCCTAAATATATAGGAAATCTATTCCTTTGTTCTGTCAGATATGATGGACAACCAAGATATATCTTTATCAGAAATCTGATTTTCCTTTGACTGATTAACTCACTTTCACACTTAGACAACATATTCTCTTGACTTAAATTATGTCAACTGACCCAATTCATTCAACCAAATTCTCTGGATGACTACTTAAGTATTAGAGAAGTCTGCAGGTTATGCCATTGTGTTAATGACCATCTTTGAATTTGTCTATCAAGCTCTAGATAAGAATTGCTAAGTTTGTGCTGTGGCTGTAGATCTTGAAGGTGTTCAACAGAATTTGGCATGCTGGACTTTTATGCAAGCTAAAGGGTTACGGTGCCACAGGATGAATATTTGGCTTGAACCATTCATTCCTAACAAATCATGTAATGAAGGTAACAGACTCACTTCCAGATCTTTTCATGCGAACATGGTGGTCCCCCCACGGCTCTATCCCTGAACCTACACCATTTCTGATCTTCATCAATGATCTCCCTGATATCATCAGTGGCCAACTAGGTATTTATGCAGATGACTCAACCATCTACTCCTTTCTTAATAGAAAATCCAATAGATCTGACAAAATAAACTTGGCAACTGACCTTGAAAAGTACCTCCAATCAGTGGTTAACGAAGGTAAGAAATGGCTTGTAAATTTGAATGCCTCCAAAACAAAACTGCTTTAATTTAATCATCACAGAAATCCTTTTCTGCCTGTCATCAGCATGGCTAATAGTAAAATACAGGGGATTAGCACCCTATGCCATCTTGGCCTCACATTTTACACTGACGTGAAGTGACTATATTGAATCAATTACTTTGTCTACTGCAAGGGAAGTTGGTTCACTGTGTCATGCCAGAAAATTTTTTCTCATTAGAACGAATCTTGCACATTTATTAATCTACCATTCATCCATGCATTGAATACTGTTACCATATGTGGTTTGGTGCATCTCAAGATTCTTGACAAAATTCAAAGAAGGCTCTGTAATGTAATCAATGTTGACCAGGCATTTCGACTTCAGTTACTTTTTCACTGACGTGACATGGCTTCCTTCTGTCTTTTCTACAAATATTTTCATGGCAGCTGCTCTGATGATATTTTTCCCTGGTGCCTCGACTACATGAGTTTAAGCATGCTACTAGATTCGCAATGAGGTTACACCATTTTACTGTTGAAGTAGCTAGATATAATTGCCATTTCTACTCTAACAGTTTCTTTTTTTACACTTCCCCACTGTGGATCTCTCTCAGGAATTATTGCTTCCCTGATAGCTACAATCTTAAAAATTTAAATGCAATGTCAATCACCATCTTTTGTCTTTTCTTCAATTCTCCCCATTCTCAGTCTTCTCATTCTCTTTCACTTTCACTCCCTTTAACCCCCATTGCATTCTAATGGCATTATCACCTTGCTTGAAGTGAAATGATTAAAATGGAAAAAAAAAAAAGGAAAAAAAATATAGGATTTTCTTCTATTAGTACTATCTATATGGTATATGGTTGAGCAGTTGGAATGGTAGTGTAGCGGTGTACCAAATATATAGGTACTACTACTATCTATATTAATGATACTTCCATGTACAGGATTCAAGTAATAATAATAACAACTCACATTTAATGTAGATTAAAGAGAAGGAAGTTGTTTCCCTTTAACTGTAGATTGATTGTAATCAACTGTTTGAAGAAAGTTCCCTTGTGAGATAAATGTTCCGAAATAATTATTAGAACAAAGTTTGCATGTGAAGAATGAATAACACAAAGAAATACAATTGCTTGGTATGTGTTGTGAATAAACTGGTTTGAATCAACAAAGTTCTGGTAAATAGTGCTTGGCGAAAGTTACAGGGAGAAAATATAAGTTTGCAGTTACAAAATTCTGTCTGTGTGTGTGTTGAGCAAGATCGTGGATTTGTGTTGATGGCTGGGATCTTACTGAATCTTACTGGAGATTTGCGAAAAGTCGCCCAATTTAAGGAAAAAAGGTAGGTTCCCATGGAATTGCAGGAAATCTTGATCTTACATTAAAAATATGTGATTGGTTAAAAATTAACCAGTCACTACACTCATAGTAAACAGAATAGATAAGTATACTCAGAACCAAAAGATTCAAAGGAATGACTGTGATGGCTAAATTGTCTTATACAAATGTAGTAGAAATTTATTAGCCAATCACAGGCGAATAAAATGACTTGGAGTGTATGTGGGTGCATAGCAATCACTATAGTAGCATTCTGACCATGAGTCCTGTGTTTGAATCTTACCAAAGTTAATTTTTAAATGGTCTGAGCAAGTATCTACAGCAGGGATTAGCTAACTACTCTAGTGGACAGGTATAATCAAAAATGAGCAGGCAGCTATTATTAGTTCTGTCTCAAGCTAGCCATCTCCTAAGAGTCATCTTGTCATTCAAATGGAGCAAGTGAGATTGGCTTATACCCATTGGTGAACTATTAGATTTGAGCTTGATCCCCATGGAATCTTTTTAATAGATCAATTTAATGGAAACAATTAAGTCTCTTATTTAGTTTCTTCATAATTTGTGCCAATATATGGAAAACCTAATCAGTCTCTTCCTCAGATGACTTTGCTTAGACCTTGCAATGAATAATGAGTCTCTCTAATTAGCCTCTCTAGAGGTCAATATAGATTGGAACCTGATAGGATGATAAAATAAAGAACAAATAGGAAACATATATCAATTTAACATGTTTCACTTTTATTAAAGCTTCATTGGAGATTGAGAGAAAAATATGGCCTTTTTCTCTCAATCTCTGATGAAGCTTTAATAAAAGTGAAACATGTTAGATTGATATACGTTTCCTATTTGTTCTTTATTTTATCATATATATATATATATATATATATATATATATATAAGTGGACATTGATAAAAACACCAGAGGT